TTATATTGATATAATAGATAAAGTAGAAAATATAGAACAAGTAATACTAACTGATAATAGATTTAAAAAAGTATGCTATTTTGTTTTAGAATTAATTAAGTTTGTGATACAATATATTAAAAATATAAATATTAATATAGATGGGGAGAAAGAAAAAGAATAAGACAGAATCAGTTGTTTCTTCAACCGATGAAGAAAAAGAAGAAATTCTTAAAGAAACATCAGTTATTGAGTTTGCTTGTCCAATGTGTAAAAAAATCTTAGAAATGAAAAATGAATTAGAAATACAAAAGAAAGGAAACTGTAAATGTTCGTGTATTCCAACAAGTTTCAAAATAAGTAGAAATGATAAGAAAATGAATATTGATAAAACTACAGACAGTATAAACTTAGAAACAGATGTTCATAATATAGCTATACGATTTGGGAGGGGGGTTACTCCGTCAGATAATGGTGAAAAGGAAACTCAGGAAACTGTTAAACAAATAATGAAAAATTAGTATTTAAAGAGTAGATTTAACATAATTGCAACATTTAGTTTTAAAAGTTTAGTTTTATAATTTAGTATATATTTTACATGGCTGAAGGATTAGATAAGATTGTTAAACAACTAAAAAAGGTTTTAGAACAGAATAATAATATTTTGGAAATCTTACAAGAAATGGAAAAGAAGAAACCATTCACAAACAGTTATCAAAGTAAAGAAGTAGATAGAACCAGTGGCGAATTTAAAAATAAGAAACAAGTGTATTTAAACAAACTCAACAACAAAGAGATAAAAGAGCCGAAGTCCTCCACTATGGCATTTTATCAAATTGACTATGATGAAGATACAGGGGTTTATTCATAATATAACGATATATTGAGAAAATAAAAGACCGCACACATACATGTTTGATTTGTAATTGTTGTGTGTCTTGGAGGGCAAAAGCAAGACACGAAAAAACTTTGAAACACCAAAATTATTTAAACGAACTTAATAACAAAGAAATTACAGAACCGAAGCAATCAACAATGGATTATGACAAAATAGAATATGACAAGGAACTGAAACTTTATGTTTAATCATTAACTAACAAAATTTCGTGTCTCAAAAGCGGTTTGTTTATTCCTGCTACTTTGTAAGTTTTATTATCCATAATATCATATTCAATTTTATCGATATTGAATATTTTATTAGACCATTTAGAGTTATACTCCTTTCTGTCGGTGTAATTACCCCTTTTCTTTTGAAACACTTTTACCTTGTCGTTCTCCACTATTCTGGGATACTTTCTTTTGTTTTTTTCTCGTAGTTTAAGATTGACCTTTACATTTATTTCATTGTCGTCCTTGTGTGCATCGGTCGGTGTCATCCTTGTTGATGAGTGTGATGTGCTGTTATACTGTTTCAATGCCGGCGTTAGGGCGTCGGTCCATTTCATGTTGTTAAACCTAACTCTATCGTGAATTTTGTTTTTCATCGTTCTAATAAAACGCTCGGCCACATTTGCGTGGGTCTTCGTAACGATGTGGTTTATTCCTTCACTGTTGAAGAAATCCTGAACTTGATTTTTAGTTGCAAACGCTCCGTCGTCATCAGAATACACGGACATCGGATAACCCATCTTTTTAAAGCTTGTTCTCAACGCCTTCAAAACGTGCTCTCCGTCTCTTTCCTCCATCGGTATTACATCTGCTAATTTACTGAAGATGTCAATCACGACTAAAGCATACTGTGGAACGATCTTGTCTTTTGCTAAAGGTGACATATGCATTATGTCTATTTGATATTCATATCGTGCGAATGGAGCGGTATAGGAATTAGTACCTCTATAATTTTTGATTTGTTTATTTGGTTGTTTCTTCAAGAAAGACTTTACATCGTCTATTGTTATTGTTGGGTCTTCTTCCTTTGCCTTCTTGTGTGTCGCTTGTATGCTTCCGAAACCCTCGTCTAAGTCGTAATAGATGTTGCTGATTATTTGGTCTTTTGTTAATCTCGCCATTATATTAAATTGTTAGAAAATATTTTTTCAATATAAACCCCACCCCTCAACATAAAATAAAAACTACTTAAAGAAAAATGGGTATAATATAGTAAGAGAAAAAAAATGACACTGTTTAATTATGATAATTGTCCTTGTAAAAATAAAAAATGTAACTCTGTCGTGGGACTAGCTAATATTTTACCTGTTGATGTTTGTAATCTTATAGGTGGTTGTATTAAACCAACATGTTTTGATTGTCGGTATTTGAGAGAAGAAGAAGAGCATTTTATGAGTGATAAAAACATTCCTGAAGAAGGACTAGAAAAAGCAGAGCTTCAGTTAAACATTATTCAACAAATACAAAATAATGATATTACACAACTAACAGGATACCATTTTAGTTTAAAACATTACAGAAAAAACATTGACAGAGTATTTGATATACAAGAAGTTAAAGAACGGTTTAAAAATAGAAAAATGTATTATCAAGCATTAAAATCATACTGTAAGAATAATGAATATGAAGTTTGTGTAGTTTTAAAACATTGTCTTAAAGTTGAAGAATTAAAATATTGGAAACAAAATGGATTTTGCTTTCCAAACCTAAACAGTTGGTGGTCATATAGAAATAACAATTATTATTTGAGACATATTCTTAGCGAATTAATTGAAATTTACACAGACCAATTAATAAAAGGATACGAGCATTATTTTTGTGAGTATAGTATGAGTTGTTATAGTGGTTGTATCGCTGGTGAGATTGAATACGGGTCAAATTAACTTTTGTTTATTAATATTATTATCTTATAATATGATTAAACATTGTTTTATAATCTAACAAGAAGGTTAAGACATTTAAATTAAACCTGAAACCCAGACCAGCCGACCAGCAACCCCTAGCCAAAACTACTTAAAGAAATATTACCTTATATATTAAGAGAAAAATTAACGGTGATGGAATCAATAATTATATCGATAAAAAATGCTATGATTGTTGTCACTTCAAAAAAGAAAATATGGAATTGTATAAATTGAGTTTACCTAATGAAATTGTGAATAATATTATTAATTATTCAATGGATGGTGAAGAAGACATATGTAAAAATTGTAAAACTTGGAGAGATAATCAATTTTTAATCAAATGTCTGTTGGGAATAAAAAGAATACATAATAGAAATGTAGAAGATGATATTTTAATATTTCTAACTGTAAATAAAATACCACCTTACGATTATGTTAAACAGTTTCTTAAAATCAGTAAGAAAAAATATGACACGATTTACGATATATTATGGATGTTGGGTTATAGTCAAGAGAAAGGAGAAGATGTTAAAGAAAATATCAAATTATTTATTGAAAGTAAAAAGTTTAATGTTCAGAATACAGTGAGAGATGTTAATATTATTTTTAAAATGATGTATGAAAGAAGTAAGACAAACCAATTAGATTATTATCCTGAACTGAAATTATAATCATAATATAATAATAACATGTAAAATCTTATATGTTATAATTATACTGAACTTTTAACCTATAAATGAAAATTAGTGAGAAAAAACTAACAAAACAAATCCACCGCCAACACCTCAGAACTTGATAACTACTAAAAGGGCTAACTCTTTCAAATGAAAAAAATGTTTGCCCCCAGCCCAACAATGAACAAGGGGGGCAATTACCAAAATGATTACCTTAACGAAAACGATAAATAAGCTCCCTAAAAACCCTCTTTTCAAAACGAACAAGGGGGAACACAGATTTGAGATGAACATAAAAACCAGAACAGGCAACCCTCAACAGGCCACCCCCCAGGCCCCCTACTTTTACCATTTTTTGGGGGGCCGGGAGGGGGCGGTGTGGCGGTGTGGGGATGTGGGGTGGGGGGGGTTTGTGGGGGTGTGAGGTGTGGGGGGGTTTGGGGGGGTGTGGAGGCGTGTGGGTGTGGGGTTGTGGGGTTGTGGGGGTGTGGGGGTGTGGGGGTGTGGGGGTGTGGGGGTGTGGGGGTGTGGGTGTGTGGGTGGGTGTGTGGGTGTGGGAGTGTGTGAGTGTGTGAGTGGGTGTGTGGGTGTGTGGGTGTGTGTTGGGTGGGTTTGTGGGTGTGGTGGGTGGGGCGAGGTGGGGTGGGGTGGGGTGGGGCGAGGCTGCACACGCACGCACACGCACATGCACACACACAGGCACACCACCCCCACTCCCACACCCCCACACCCACACCCGCACCCCCACCCCCCCGCCCCGCGCGTGCGTGCGTGCGTGCGTGCGTGCGTGCGTGCGTGCGTGCGTGCGTGTGCGTGTGTCATCAATCAGCCTGGCTTGTGTGGACCCTCCAACACCACCTGCCCTTGCTTGCAAGCTCCTGCTCACTGATGCTGGCCGGAAAAGGTCAATGAAGGTGAAACCAACAGGCAAAGTTCCATCCCACTTTGGTCTTGTGTCGAAAATGAAGACCGGGCACTGGCTACAACTGCTCGTGTGACCAATATAGAGAACAATCCATGTTGAGCAATCAGAGACAATAATACTAAAGTGCAAATAGCATCGCCTTCGACACAAGCACGCTGCTTGCAGTATCTCATTGCGGCCCAGAAACTTTTGCGGCGACTTCTTCTTTGGCAAAGCCAGAGGATATTCACAGCTGTTCCTGCCATCTGTGTGTTCCATCTACTCACTGCAGACGTGGTCAGGTGCGAGGTGGGCAACTACTGCACAAATGTCTCTCATTTGCAACGCCAAAATCAACACCTCGTAGCATGCGGAAAGTTTGCAAAGCAATGTGGGCCAGCTGCAGAGCCTCTTGCTTTAATCTGCAGCGCCTTATGAAGGCCTCGTGCAGCCTATTATTGCAGTGCCTGTGAAGGCGAGCTGCCCTGAATAACTCCAGCCTCTAAGCTGCTTTGACTCCGAGGGCAAAAATACGCTGCTTGTGGCAGGCATTGCTTAGACACTTGCTGATTGCGGGCAGAGCGCCTGCAATTGCTCCAGAGGGATGCTGGTTGCTGTCATGTTACAAGCAAACAAATGAAGTTGATCACT